GCCCAACAAGGTGATGAAGATGGTGTCTTCCATAGCCAGGTAAGTGCCTCGCCACTCTCTCCCTCAACCTCCTTCTTCCTCCTCCTCACACTGGGCTGCTTGCCATAGCCAGGTTGAGCGCCCAGCTACCTTCACCTCCACCCAGCGCTGTAGCAGACCAGCGCTAACGCTCCAGCAGCATGTCGCCAATCCTTGCATACTGCAAATGAGGAAGAGCTTTTCGCTCTTCCTGAAGATATAGCGGCCTACCGGCCTCCTGGGCGGTGACTTCCTAGGCCAAACGGCCTCCCAGCAACCGGTACCTCCTCCCTTTCGGAGGGAAACATCATTGCAGGCTCTGTTATTGTCCGGACAGGCCCTAGACCCGGGCTACTTGGACTGGTACCGGCCTACCTCTAGCCTACCRCTACTGGGCCTCTGAAAATGCCAACTTTTTGTCTTCTTCTGCTCGGCCTCCAGTACCCGACACTCATACCACTACTCGAGTGGTACCGGCCTACCTGCTCTAAGTGYSGCGGCCTACCCCAYCGCTACTTGAGTGTTTACCCCCYTGCAACCCTCACAATCACGGCCACAGGTAAGTACCGGCCCGGCGGGCCTTGCAACCAACAAGTGCCCTTGYGGGTCACACACACACACACMCCCAACCGGCAAGCACTYAGACAGGCATGCAAACCAGCAGGCACGCACACACACAACCGGCAAGCACCTCAGACAGGCATGCAACCCAGCAGGCACGCACACACACAGACTTGGGACCACAGGAGAATGCGGGAATCACAGCAAGGCATTCATTCCAGTGACAAATCCCAGAAATCAGCAATGTTCTTGGCGGGTCATTACATTACTCCCCTCTCGAGAGCGAGGTCCCTTTGAGCGAGTAACTCAGTCAGAGTCGGCACAGAATGCGTCGTAGGAGTACATCAGAAAGAGAGACTTAGTCAATCCATGAGGAGTCATTGTTGCAACGAACTTAGCAGTCTGTCCTTCTGCGATCTGTCTTTCGTAAGCGTTCACAACACGGGGAGCATTCTTTAACAGCTCTTTCCGGTCGATCCAGAAAAATTCAGTCAACAAGTGATAGAGGAAGTGAACCTTGTAATGTCAGTTCCTCCCTCTGCCCTCGTGAGATACGATTCTCTCTATCTCATGGCCGCCGTCGATAGGGCGAGGTATCATAGGATCTCGGAAGGGAAAAGTCTCATCATCAATGTGCGGAAACAGTTTGGACGCATGGAAAACTGGATATGTGCGTAGATGAGGAGGCACGCCAATTACAAATGAAGGGCCAAGATCATCCCCAATCACCTTCAGAATCTGCCAAGGGCCATAGTACAAAGGAAAGAGCCTTCGTGATATGCCCTCTTCGTCAGAGAACTCAGACATTTTGACCCAAACATAATACCCTACTTTCAATTTCTCTTCTTTGCGCATCTTGTTAGCATGTTTGATCATGGCATGCTGGCACTTGTTCATGACTGCGATCACAGTTTTGAGCAAGCGTGCGTACTTGGCATTGTAGCCAGGCATGCCGGGCATCAGACCAGGTGACCATTCGGGGAACAGATAGGAGAGGGGATTGCGCATGGGCCATCCATATTGCAGCTGGTTTGGTGACACGCCAGTTGCAGAATGAATGGAATTGTTATACAGTCCCTTTACCTTGTGCAGCTCCTTGTCCCACGTGTTCTGATCTGGAACAATCAATGCGCGGAGTAGTTGGATGACAGTCTGGTTGATCTCCTTAGCCAATCCATTGGCTTCAGGGTGTCGACCAGAAGTCTTGTTCAATTTAATGTCATAGATCTGCGACGTGAAGTCCTTCCAATCTTTGCTGATGAATCTGGTGTGAAGTCGATGGAGATTGATTCACCGGGTCCATTAGGAATGGGGAGTGGTCTCAGCAGGCCATAAGGCTTATGCCTGTGGACTTTGGTTCTCTGACATGCCTGACATTCAACAATAAATTTTTGAGCAGATCCTTTCATCCCTGGCCAGTCTAACTGCTGCAGAAGACTTCCACTCCGACCATGTGCCAGGTCGAAGAAATGAGTTCGGAGAGGCGCATGGTTGGGTACACACAAGCGGTCAAACTTCCCATACCGGCGAAATACAAGACCCTCGCATTCATGGCGGTGTGTTCGATCCTTGGCGGTGTGTTCGATCAGATCCTCCTTCAGTTTCTTTCGCGAGGTCATACGAACCCACAAGGCAAGTCAAGAATTCAGGATGGCGCGACACTGCATCAGCAACCCGGTTATAACAACCTTTTTTGTGTTTCAATTCAAATTTGTAGACATCAATGTCATGCAACCAACGGGTCAATGTAGGAGAGAGTTCAGATTGTGTCTGAATCCACTGCAAGGTTTGATGATCAGAGTAGACCTTGAAGTGGCGACCCAAGAGGTAGTGTTTCCAATGTGCGTGAGCTTCGCGCAGGGCGTAGAGCTCACGCATATACGTGGAAGTAGCTACCTTGTGGCTAAGCATGCGTTTGCTGTAATACTCGAGCGGACGCAGACCATCACCATCATCTTGTTGCAGCACTGCACCAATCCCGAACTGGCTCGCATTCGTAGTGACTACGAACGTGAGGTTGGGATCTGCAATGTGAAGCACAGGATGACTGGCTAATGCCTCTTTCAAGGCTTGGAACGCAGTCTCACACTTCTCACACCATGCATAGGCAACATTCTTGCTGGTTAGTCTTGAGAGAGGGTGAGCAATGACAGAGAATTTTGGCACAAACTTCCGATAATACGAGGCCAGGCCAAGAAAAGAACGCAGTTCGCGTACATTCGCGGGTTGAGGCCACTTTCGGATGACCTCAACCTTGGTTGCCTCCGGCTCAAGGCCGTTTGCAGACAACCGATGCCCAAGATAGATGACGCTGTCCCTCCCAAACTCAAATTTCTCCAAGTTTAGGTGCAGCTGCGCCTCTTTGAGGACCTGCAAAACTTCCTCAAGGTGCTTGATGTGCTCTTCCATGGTCTTGCTGAAGATCAGGATATCGTCAAGGTACACAACCACAAACTTGTTGAGTTGATGGCGAAGTACCTTGTCCATGAGGCATTGGAATGTGGCCGGTGCATTCGTAAGACCGAAGGGCATAACGATGAACCCGTACATCCCGTCGCGTGTCTTGAATGCTGTCTTGTGCTGGTCACTCGGATCAACTTCAATCTGGTGGTAGCCAGATTTGAGGTCGATCTTGGAGAAGACCTTGCACCCACCTGCCGCATCTAGCAGATCATCTATGCGAGGCAAAGGGTAAGCATTCTTCCTTGTGATCCGATTAAGGCCACGATAGTCAATACACATCCGGAGTTTACCTCCTTTCTTTGGCACAAATAGGACAGGTGCGTCGAACTCAGACTCACTGGGCCTAATCCATCCACGGTCAATCATATCATCAATCTGTCGTCTCAACTCCTCCAACTCGCCTTGTCTCATACGGTAGACGCAGCCCTTTGGAGGAACACTCCCCTCTATTATCTCGATTTTGTGTTTGACCGGACGCTCGGGAACTCCACGAGGTTCGGCCAAGACTTCAGGGAATCGATCTAATAGTTGGCGAATGTTTGTTGGGACTTCCGGTGGAGGATCATCCTCATCAGGAGAAAGAAAATCAGTTCAAGAATTTACAGCAATTACAACCGGATTTGAAGTATTTGGATCAGAAGTAGAGGGATTATTCACAGTAGAAGTAGATGGATTAGAAGTAGAGGTGGTAGAAGTAGAGTTACTTACCGAGGTATAAAATGCAGCAAAAGTAGAAGGCACATGGATAGGCTTTACAAAGGCTACATGTACATGCTCAATCTCCTTGCGCCTGCGCACTGATTTGCAGAATTTGGTTGCACTTAAAAGAGTCACAGGGGACTCGCGCGTCTCATCCAATAGGACGGTACGCTCGTTCCCCTTGGCATCATGCACCACGAACTGGTTGTCCACCCACGTGGTCCTTGGGCAATGAGCCTTTAACCAGCCCAAGCCAATGACCGCGTCGAACGGACACTTGTCCATGACATAGAAGTTGAGCTCATGTGTGACAATGCGGTCCTTGTCAAAGGTGACGCGCACACCTTTGACAGCATGCGTGGATGTGACAACCTCTTGGTTGCCAACCTGGGTCTGACAAGGGTTCTGCAGTTCCACTTGCTTCATTCCCAGGCCCACCTTACGAATCCCATTAGGAGAAAAGAAATTAGTGGTTGAACCACTATCAATCAACACGCGGATGTAATGACGGTTAATGAGCAGTTTAAAGAAGGTTAGCTCCACACTCCCTTGAACACGGCGTTGCTGCTTGAGCTGCAGCCAGTGTTCCATGTGAGCGTTGTCAGGCGTATCGGTCCGGCACCGCAAGTGGCAGCGCGGGACCCTGTCGGCCGCGTCACGCAGGAGTTGGACCAATCTCGTCACGAACATGCAAATGGAGCTTCCTTAGGCCGCTCCGGCCGAGTGCGCCAGCCATACCTCTCGCAAGCCCCTATGACAAGATAGGGCCTACGCGAGGCACATCTTACCTCCACCTTACGGGAGCTGTCAGCTCCCTTCGGTGGGCGTATCTCTGCCGAGCTACTAGTCCACAGCACGAAAGCTACTCGGTTGCAATCGCAGAGGTGGACCAGCCGAGGGCGTTTCTCGTTCGCTGTAGCATAGGGGGTACGCGCGGTAATACGCCTATCGGACCCGCACGCGAACCGACATCTTGGGGGGCTGAAGTCCCAAGTGCGGTTAGTCGTCGGTCGACTAGGACGCATCCCACACACCACGCGCACACCACTTTACGAACAAAAAAATAAAACACACACACATACCCATACAACACGGCACAACACAAACAACGCGACAACACTCCTAGCCCCTCGGTAGCCAACCCATAATTTTTCGATGCGGAAGTCAAATAGGCGTCGCGCACGAGACTCGGTATAAAACCGCGCGGACGCAGGGCTAACTTATGTCGACTCGCAATGCAAGCGTACGCAAGCGGTCGCGGTGATGGCGTACTATATAGTACCCATACTCACGCGGTCCTCGTTAATCTCGAGGGTTGCATTCGACACTCAAGTGTCGGCTGATACGCGCCTTGAGGGTTAATCTCTCGACGCTGGACAACCGCCATGCTCGGTTGAAGACCACACACCCTCTTTTGCACTCTGTGCACAGTGGGTGGTACACAGGTCCATACCTCTGGTGGCAGTCGCTTCTTACTGCCCTGGAGATGAGTTCCACTCCGGGCCTGGGCGAAAGTCAAGGGGTTGGACTTTGACGGCTGCCACGGACTACAACATCCAACCATACAAACTCTAAAAAGCAAGGGTAAAAAAGGAACCTCCCTTCCCTCTCGAGACATAATCCAGTTAACCCTTATTCACACTCACAGTAGGCCTCTCAGGGCACTTATAAATACGAAAGGGTTGATTATATAGGACGATCACTTCTCATAGTCACAGTAAGGCTCCTCTCAGCCATATATGTATGTAATCGCAGGTAATCACATCCAAAGTCCGAATCACAAACGCACCTGCAATCACATCAAAGATTCAATCAAAAGTCCACGCACTACGCGGGGTCAACTTCAACCATTCCCTGTGCTCATACCCCTCGCTTTAGCCATACAAACCTCACTTTTGTGCAACTCCCCAAAATAAATGCTCAGTACTTTTCTTAAATGGCCATTCAATAAAGTCTGGGTAAAAACACAATGAAACAATCCAAACCACAGGGCTAAAGCCTGGATTGGAGTTGAATCGTAAACCAACGAATCGGCAACTGACCTGTTATCAGTGATAACAGAAGATGATCCTTGTAGGATCAAGCTGAAACTAGCCTAGATCCTGAATCAATCGACCCAGAAGACCAGTAACACAAGACAGGCCAATCCCCAAGCTATAATCATAAGTGTATGGAGAACACAACCCCATAACACATTCTCACTCAAACCACCCTAGTTAACTAGGCCTGCATCTACCTTTAAGCAGTGCCCAAGCAAAGGTAGCCCCTGGCATAATCTCCCCTATACAGAGTGGATCGCCAGAATCGCCACCTGTCAAAATATAATCTATCTCCTTTAAACTAAGAAAATTTCGGTAGCGCTTCCCGTAGGAAAACAGAATTTATATCAGCTCGAATATAAAACTAGAAATAGTCTTTGATTTTTCAAACTCCAATTTTGTCTAACTCCCTTATTTAGCAAAAATTTGGGCGGCATTCCCTTTAGAAAAGGAGACTTTCCAGATTTTTACTAAGTCATATATGACTTTTAGACCCGCTGAACTTTGAAAAGTTAAAATTTCACTAACTCCTTGGATTTGCAGAAATTTCGGCAGCGCTTCCCGTAAAGAAGTAGCTTACCAAAATTTATACAAAGCCAAGTATAATAAAAAACCCTAAAAAATGCGAGAATTGATCTAAGTAAAATAAACTTAACTTAGAAAATGCAGAAATTGAAACTAACTCCTATCGCTCTAGCACGAAGCAAGCCTCTAAAGCAACTACCTGTCAACCTGACATTCAAACCAAGTAGTAGCCTCACTTAGTCTCATGCACGCCAGACCACAAAGGTAAGTATTTTCACCATCCCCAAGCCAACTTGGCAGACAATAGTTCGTAATCTCTCGATGCCTTATTCCCTTATACCCAGCTTACATAGGGCATAAAGTCAAGCCGTCCAATCTTATGGAACCTGCTTGACCCAGCCATTGAGTTTACACGAAGAGGTTGCACAACTACTTCTCTCTTCCTTTTGGGCATATGACTAAGCCGTTCATCTTAGAATTAGGCTCAGCCGCCCCGAACTGTTTAATATCTAAATTATATATACCTCTCTGAGCTTGGTGTTCAAAAGCTGGGCATAGGACTGAGCCGTTCATCTTAGAACAAGGCCCAACCTGCCCAGGGTTACCTTCAATTATACTCTTAATTATACTCTCTTCATTCCATGATAAGCTATAGCCATGCCGTCCAATCTTATGGAACCCATGCTTGGCTAGCCTGTTCATAAATGGAATAATATAAAATATAGCCAAAATTTAACCTTTTGGGTTCCAGCATGTGCGAGGCATCGGGTCAGACCGTCCAATCTTATGGAACACATCTGGTCCTTTGCCAGGTTCGTTTCTCTCTGATCCACTGTGTGCGGCATGAGTCCAAGGTCGTCCAATCTTATGGACATGCCTTGCCCTCAGCGAGAATTAGTCCCTCAGAATGAAACAGGAAGGGGCTGAGCCGTCCAATCTTATGGACTTGCTCAGACCTCCTCGACCAAAAACAAAAGAAACAGAACAAAACCAACCAAACATGGCAACCAAACCCTCCAATCTTATGGTACAGGTTTGACCCTTGAAAAGTCAGCCATAGTCAAACCCTCACAATTCAGAGCAATCAGACCGTCCAATCTTATGGAACTGGTCTGACTCTCCATGCAATTCAAAAATAAACACAGCGACCCTGTCAGCCTCAGGCAAAACCACCTTTCACCCACCCTTCCCTCAGATGCACCCCTTTGTGTTCACAACCTGCGTTCAGGCAATCAACAAACTGAAACTGCGATTGCACACACATTCCTTTATTTAGTCTTAGTTGTGTCCTGTCAGTCAAACCAAAGTCAAGGTAGGGGTGCATACAGTATACTCAGTCAAACATAGCAAGACGTACAAGTAGGGGTTATACCGGGGTATATGGAGGGGGAAGCAATGATTACCTTTCAATTCCCTACCTCCAGAACTCCTCCTGAGTTCCGGCAGAGCTCCCGCAATCGGTGGGGCGAACCTCCCACAGAGGCCTTGGCGCGGATTACGGGTTGCAATCCCGCCTGCCGCCTTCCTCTCAAAACCAATAGACTAGACTTAGAATGAGAAAGGCAGAAGGAGGTAGGTTTAAGACTCTCAGATCCAAGAGGGGTGCACTCAGACTCGCGCGAGAGGGCCTTGTTATCTTGATGCGCCTAAGGGCCTCGCAATGGCAGCCAAAACGCACGAGCTTGGTCAAACCGAAGTCAAACTGCCGACAGACAACACCCTGACAAGCTCTGAGTCGTGGCGATAACCTTCCTTCAAGTCCGTTCACTCCGCCTACCTCTCACCGATGTTTTCCTAATGAAATGACAGTCGTGCAGCTCTAATCAGCAATACTCGAACAGCACACACCTCCTGTGTCGTATGCTTGAAATATGAAAACGTACAGCGAATTGTGCAGCAGGGCGTAGTGGAAGTACAACAAGCCCCACCCAAGTCGCATGTACCAGGAGTACGCGCGGGAAGGACCCAGCGATCACGGTGCCCACCCCAGAGCACAATACTAACAGTTTACAAGTAGTAACCGCACGACGGCAGCCGCACAGTCATAGTAGCACAGTATTGAAACAACAGTCAGATGCTAGCCGCAGTGAGCCGCTGTCCTGCACCGCGGCGTTCAGCCACAACATTCATTACGGCCTACGGCTGTGAAACCCATCAGCGACTTTGACAAACGGGCAGCACTACGAACAACCCCTTCTTCCCCTTGGTGCTCCCTCATAGTCGCATGTAGTGCAGGGCACTAAAGCCGAACACCCACAACAAACTACATCAAGCGAACTGTAGAAAGGTCAGGCATCGTCCGAAGCACCCAAATTCCATCCTCCCCCACTCGAAGCTGTGCATCCAACGAGCGAAACACCCCCGTATAAGCCCTGCAAAGGTTGCTACCTACTGTTCACACGAATATGAGAATGAGTCTCCTGCTGAAGTACGGAGGGATACATTCTAGGCACAACTCCTATATGGTATCCCTCGAAAATCCCCCACTAATACCATAAACTAACGTTGCAGTCTAACTCGTCCTCCTGAAAGTCATCGGATTTGGCTTTTATTGTGCCAAAACCCGTTAAGAAACAAAACGTATAATTGTTTTTGCCTTCTTCGCCCTCCCCTTCCGTCATGACTCCACATACGCCTTTCCTCACTTCTCTCTCTTTCTCTATTCATGCGGGTGCCACCCTGCTCGATCGCCCTCGTATGCGCCAATTAACAAGTGAGTCACCAGTACCACGGTCGGTCCCCTCCTTAGTCACAATCCATCCCCCGCGAGAGCAGCCCCTACCCTCGTAGCGCCCGGACCCCTGCTCAACCGGCCAAACTAGTCCCCCCCTTGAACGTGCAAGGGGCAAATCCGAGTGTACCTACCACCCAAACAGCGGCTAGGTACACTGACACACTACCGGTCTGCTCCCCCGGGCACAACATTTACTGCTCGCCTTGAATAGACTAGCCCTCTAGGACAAAAACCAACGCTACCATCGCGTTCGCCCTCGGCCAAAACCCTTAGAATAACCCTCATTCCGCTCGGTTTCGTGCAGAAATGAGCGAAAAAGCTAACTTTCTTCTTCTTCTCCTCTTCGTCGGCCAGAGCCCCGGCGCACCCCGTTTCTCAACTGACTTTTCTTTTACTAATCCTTGCTTAAATCTATCTTCGAATTCAGATTCGCCGAACCCACAAACCCCTATCTCCGTCTTTATCTCGCTCGATTCTGTCAAGAATCGAGTATTATCTCAACTTTCCTACCCCCTAATTCTCCCCTCCGCCATAACTTCACGGAGCAGCCTTTTCAGCTAACTCTTTTTTTTCTAATCTTTTACTGAATCTAACTACAGATTCAGATTCGCCCTCCCCCAAAACCCCAGTTTCGTCTCTTCCCCTGCCCGATTTCGTCAAGGATAGGGTGGGGTTCGCGTTTTCAGCCTCAGCCTCCGCCTGCTCCTGCTCACTTTCGCCATCTTCGTCCTCTGCGCCTGCATGCACCCGATACGGCCTCCGGGTCAGGTTCACTCCCATGCTACCCACTTGTTGCCCGTCTTCCCGCCTTGCCTCCCCGTAGACTCTCAGTCCCCGTTCGATTTCAGCCCGTCACTACCACCTCCGGCAGCGCCCGACCAGTCTCTCCGCCATCTCCAGCTCCCTCGCTGCCTGTCTGAACTTCGAACGCACCCGGCGCGCTAACCCGCCCGGGTTCATTCCTTCCTCTGCGGCATCCTCTCCCTGCGTTAGTGCCCCGTCACTACAGTAGCTGCGCCTGCTCCACCCTGCCCTTACAGCGCTGCCCCGCTAGCTCTCAACTCGCCCCGGCTGCGCTGCTGCTCCTCCAATGTCGAATGCACTTGGCGCCGCCCCCGTCCAGGTTCATCCGCTCCCCTTGCAGCTCTTCTCCCGCCAAACATGCCTCCCCCAGCCGTAGCAGCCCTGGTCGATATCACGTTCGGATTCCCCCGCGGCTTCAGCGGTCCCGCCAGCTTGAGGAGATCTTTCGGGGTGAGCCAGCAACTGGATCTCCCGATCAGTCTTCCGCCTCTATACACAGGTCCGTCGAGCGACTTGTACGTAGAAATACTGCAGTATGTACCACAGTCTTCCACCGGCCTCCTCCGCACGGATGAAGTACTCCGCCCCTTCGGGCGTTCAACGGGCACGCACACTGTCGAAGCCTTTACAGTAGATCGGGGCAATCGTCCCGTGCCCCTGCCGGACAGCGGGCATATGCGAATCTTCTCTATACCGTTCCAAATTTTACGGATGTCCCGAAGGATTAATCGGGACAATGCCCCTACGAAAAGCCAAAGGCCACTCGGCCCGTGCCCTGGGTCTGTATCCTGACAGTTCGTGGGTATACCCACTGAGCTAGGACTCTTGGGTGCCTGCCACACCCACGGCACCGCGTCCCAATCAAAGCATAGCCACGAAAACCGTTCGTAATTGCACTTCAGGCGACCCCGCGAATACAACACACCCCCATGCGCTCCTACCGCAGTCTCGTGTCCCACAAAGGGACCAAGAACAATAAGGGAAATAAAATATCAGTAACGTCGGGGGACCGCGGGGTTGCAGGCACCTTGCCAGCCCTGCGGATTGGGCCCGCCGCCGCACCCACAAGCAAAACCGAGGGGGATAGCCCCACAGGGCCCTCAACCCCTCAGTCTTTCGTTCCACACTACTCCTCTGCCGCTGCGCCGACGCCCACTGGCCTCGATCCCCGAGCCTCTGCCGTGCTAGTCCCCTGTCGTAACCAATAGGGCTAAGCCCAAGCCTGGGACTGAGTCCCGCAGAATACCATATAGGCAGTGCGGCGCGGCGCTTTGGGCCAACAAACCGGCTACGCGGCTCCCAGTGCCCGCGCCGGCTTGCTTATACCGTGCCATAATTGCCCCGCGCGCCATCCTACGACACCCCGCTCGCCGCATGAAGTCGCGCTGTCGTTGCCGATGCCGTCGTCGGGGTCGTTCTCCGCACGCGCGCTCGACTCGGTCAAACATAGCCATCGAAAGAAAATATCCCTTAGATCCTAGTTTAATCAAGAATAAACAAAAATAAAAATAAAGATAAAAATAGAAACGAACCGTTTGGCGCCCGCGCCGACTTTATAGTCAACGATAGAAACGAAATCACGCGCGCCTCAAACTTGCGCGCCCACACACCTTTTGTTCTAGTCAACCTTTCGGCCATCGTAACCGCACAGACGCAACCGCGCCTCGCGCAGTATACTTGACTTTAGACCAAACTCATTTTTCTGTCATTTGCGAAAACCAGGGCGGATACCCTCGTAAGGGTATTCGCGCCGAAAGCGAGGAAGTCAACTTCCTTAGACTCCTCCCAAGGCTCAGTGTAAAGCACATGAATTGCAGCAGCCTTGGATTCAGCGTCGTTCCGGGCTTCAAGAGTGGGTTGTTGATCAGATTCAGGCTCATTAGAGAGGCCTGCAACTGATGTTCCAGCTTCCCTTGTTGTAGGGAGTGCTGAACTTTGCTTGTTTCCCTGAAGTCTGTAACAGTCCTGCACAGCATGCCCAGGCTTCTGACAATGCAGGCATATGCGTAGTTTAGATCTTGTTTCCCATTCCTTTTGAATGATACGGAGGGCTTCCCAAGGCTTGGTTGATGCATCCTCCGGTTTCTCAGGGATCTTTGCGTTCTTAGGGAGGTGGACAACAATTCCCCTACCCGAACCACGGTTGGGCCCCTTGTTTGAAGCAGTCTTTCTAAAAGCATTCAACTTTTCATCTTCGTTGATGTCAGACTCAATGGCTGATGTGGAACAGCCCATATCGGAGTCCGRCTCTARATCGTCATCTAGAGACAGATCATCCGCATAGGACTGATCTTCARCCTCCYGATGATCATGCAGTGCAAGCTGGTTGCTGCTTCCARACCGCTTGCGTTGTGGTTTCCCACCTGCAGCGGGCGCCTTCTTCCGCCTGGCGAGGTCCTTGGCCTCTAGGTTGACTAGATCCGTCATGAGCTCTCGCCAGGTGGAGTGGTCTTTGAGTGCCAACAGGGAGAGATACTCTTTGGGGGCCACTCCCATGACTACATCTATACAAGACACGTCAGTCATTCCCAGGTCTGGAGTAGTGAACAAACCAGTCAAGTGTTGTTCCAAAGCTTGCATGGAGGACCTCCATGTTTGACCCTTGAGGGCCTCAAGCTTCAGCCTAGCCTTGAGTGCAGCATGCTTGTCTTGGTATCGTGCGATGAGAAGGTCCTCAAGGGTGCGTACTGGGGTTACCTTCAGCCACTCAGTCAGGTCAATTCTTGCATAACCTGCAGCAACAGCTTGGAGCTCAATGTAATTCCGTACGGCGGGCTGAGTATTAGTCCCCATGATCATACTTCGGTCCTCTTGCAGTGTCTGCATGACCTTGAAGTATGACCGCATGGAACTAATCCAGGAGGTGATGTCCGCCTTCCCGTCGTATTTGGACGGCAGCGTGGCCGCCCGCTTGTCCACCATGGGACCGCTGTACTGAACGCCAGTGAGGACTGTGGCGTTTTGGGCTGATGTCCATGCACTTGGGACTATGACTAGTGCAGAACTACCGGCGCTGCCGCTCGAGGAGTTGGCACTGGTTCTTGCGCTTGCCACAGATCCACTTGCCCTTGTCATGAGGACTGTGTTAGGTTGAGAGACCGGGACTGCAGCAGGTCGAGGGTTAGGAGGGCGGGGGATAGCCAATTGATACTGTTTGAGGCTGGTTATCTTAGCCTGCAGCTCTTGCTTTCGCTGCTCTAGTGCTGTCACATGGGACTCAAGGTTTTCCAAGGTCCGCAGTCGGACCAAGGCTGCTACGGCAGCAGCTAGTTCCTCCTGAAACCGGTCAGCATTGGCTTCCCGGATCCGAAGGAGAGCCATCTGATCAGCAATGTTGGCAGCTCTAGCTGCTGCCGCTGCCTCCCTTTCCCTCTGCACAGCATCATCATACAGTTTCTGGAAGAACGGTCTTTCGCTCTCGTCTGCCGCATCCAGCATGGCCTGCCATTGGGCAAATGTGATGTTTGACATGCCGAAGGAAGGGATGTCAGTAGAGCTCTCAAGAGGGGTCCGCTCTCTCCTGACGCTTGGACGAACACTCCTCTTGCCCCTCCTCACAATCTCAAACAAAACACCTTCTCTCTCTCTTTCTTCTCTTTTCGCTGTCTGCGAACGGGTCTCGATGCTGGACATAGATAGTTCAGATGAAAGAAACAAACTGAAAGTCACACAGAGAAGAAGGTAGAACTCCGAGCCAGAGTTGCGAATCATTTGGACTTAGAGAGCGGCACGTCGCAGAATAAATAAAAAATTAAATAAATAAAAAATAAACAGAAGAGAGGACTGATTTATAGAACGGGCCCGATCAGATCAGCTGGAGATCCCCTCTTGTCTAACCTGACAAGGGACATGCATCACAATAAATCAGCCGAAGAAAACTAACTGCAGCAATGGAGATTTCGAGGGGTGCAGACGGTCGCCGAGTCAGACGCGTGGCAGTATGTGATAACAGGGGGTAAGACTAGTCGAGATCCCCTTGAAAGGAATGCCCTTGCTAGCCGTATGTCCCCCAAGTTCAGCACAGCAAAGGAAAAGCACTGGCGGCAACAGATTTGGGCCCAAAAGGTCCTGTCCCGTTGGGCCTGGTCCCACTAGGTCCCGAGGGGTCCAAAGTAGGTCGTGGACCAGGACCAACGTGATAGGGGTACCAAGTCGGTCCCAAACTGCCTCTACCGTACTGAAAAGGAAAAGACGACTTTTAGCAAGAACTTACCCCTACAACCATTCAAAAATGAAAAGACTTTGCACCGTAGAAAGATATGTCATTTAGAGCAGATACATCATCCATCCATCCATCAGGTGAGAAAGCAATCCRCAAGCTCACACACACAACCAAGACCGTAGAGAAGAGGAAGAGAGCCCAGCACACCCCCAACAGGCCATGAAGCACCAAGCAACCTCCCACGGGCATACCAAGGTCACACGGCACTTACCTGTGAGGCCCGACCTCCAAAGATGGATAACGAGTCACTCCCCTCCTGACCCCTAGCTACCACTACACAAAGTGTCCTAGCATGACTAAGAGGGCTTTCCTACACCCCTGTTGCAAAGCCGGATCCCCCGTCGATGCCTGAAGACCAAAGTAGCAACTTGCAGCAATCCGATGCAGATATGGCAGCCTCCGATCAAGTCTCCCTTTTGAGGGGAAGCCCAAAAGTCACTCAATGTCTTCCTGGAGTCCAGATTCCAGGTGCGAGTACCTCTCACTCTCTACTCCCTCTCGCTTACTCCAATCAGCCTCCTTTGTGTCTCGCCACCCCATCCATTCACTCAGTCAACCTGGTTAGGTCAAATGTCGACCCAACATGACCTAACCAGGTGGGGGCAGCATCCACATACCTCACTGCCCCACTTAACCCTAACTTCCAACCCTAATCCGAAGTTAGGTTAGCCCTGACCTAATTCGGAATTAGGTTTAGGGTGACTAACACCTCCCGCCAGCAAGTAAGTCCGCTCCGATACCAATTGTTATGATCCTGGTCATTTCCCAAGTGCAAATTCTCAATGAAAGACAATGCCACCCAATTGCGAAAGAAATGAAAGCACTTGCAAAGAGATAAAGACCAGAGGAGAGGTAAAGAAGAAGAAGAAGAAGAAGAAGAAGAAGAAGTACACCAGCAAGACCAATGACAATTCTCCCTTCTCTCTCCACCTTCCTCCTCCTCCTTCTCTTCACCAATCTTATTCTTCTCTCAATAATAATAATAACAATGAATGGATGAACCAGAATCAATATCCGAAGTTCCCTCTTACGGCTGACTCAACCCAACAACAACACCAACAACAACCAGTCCACCATAGCTATGGCTTCCCTCCTTCATCCTCCTCTCTCATGCCTAGGCTATGGCGGACTACCCCAAGCAGCTAGGGTGCTGTACTGATGTCCAAAGGACATCCCAAGCAGCTATGGTGCTGCGCTGTTGCCCAAAGGACCACTCAAAGCAGCTATGCCGCTGCTGACTTGGTCCGCTATGCCCGACTCTGCCTCGAGCTTCCCTGGTGCCACACTACCCCAACTGGGGCCTTCCAGATGCAGCGCCCAACAAGGTGATGAAGATGGTGTCTTCCATAGCCAGGTAAGTGCCTCGCCACTCTCTCCCTCAACCTCCTTCTTCCTCCTCCTCACACTGGGCCGCGCCATAGCCAGGTTGAGCGCCCAGCTACCTTCACCTCCACCCAGCGCTGTAGCAGACCAGCGCTAGCGCTCCAGCAGCATGTCGCCAATCCTTGCATTCCGCAAATGAGGAAGAGCTCTTCGCTCTTCCTGAAGATATAGCTGCCTACCGGCCTCCTGGGCGGTGACTTCCTAGGCCAAGCGGCCTCCCAGCAGCCGGTACCTCCTCCCTTTCGGAGGGAAACATCATTGCAGGCTCTGTTATTGTCCGGACAGGCCCTAGACCCGGGCTACTTGGACTGGTACCGGCCTACCTCTAGCCTACCACTACTGGGCCTCTGAAAATGCCAACTTTTTGTCTTCTTCTGCTCGGCCTCCAGTACCCGACACTCATACCACTACTCGAGTGGTACCGGCCTACCTGCTCTAAGTGCCGCGGCCTACCCCACCGCTACTTGAGTGTTTACCCCCCTGCAACCCTCACAATCACGGCCACAGGTAAGTACCGGCCCGGCGGGCCTTGCAACCAACAAGTGCCCTTGTGGGTCACACACACACACACACCCAACCGGCAAGCACTCAGACAGGCATGCAAACCAGCAGGCACGCACACACACAACCGGCAAGCACCTCAGACAGGCATGCAACCCAGCAGGCACGCACACACACAGACTTGGGACCACAGCAGAATGCGGGAATCACAGCAAGGCATTCATTCCAGTGACAAATCCCATAAATCAGCAGTGTTCTCAGTCTGTGTTTTTGGCGGGTCATTACAAAAAGAAAAAGAAAAAGAAAAGATGGATCCCTACTCGCAACCGCACGAGCCGCACGGCCGTGCGGTGCAGTGCGCCGCACGACGTGCGCGACCTGCCTGTGCGCCGCACCAGCAACAATTTCTGTTTTTTCCCCCGCTTTTTTTCACTGTTTTCATAGATGCAGAAGGGTGTAGTACCTGAGGAAGAGTTCCTGTTGAGCATCAGAATAGCCTAGGGTCAGAAATAGCCTCAACTAGGTGTCTGGGACATCAGTCTTGACAGTTATGTGGCGACATTACTCTCCCAGTTTTTTTTGTTTTTTTTTTTCATGCTCGTGTACCGTACGTTCCCGTGTGCCACATGGATCCTGTGCGCTCGTGCGCCACACGTGTTGCCTGCATAGCGTGCGCTTGCATGTATGGAAACTGGGTCCATGACCACGACCTCGCTCTCAACTTTTCTGCTCTACACTAACACTCTTCATGAACATGAGCTAACAGCTGGCCGCAAAGAAGCAGTAAGACGACCACCTCCTTTCTCTGCTACGTTCAAGGGCCAGTGTCTATCTAACTAAAAACCAGCAGAAGAGAAACACCAAAACCACCTACCCTCCCTTTCACTTTCTACTTTCTACTTTGAAGATCCAGCATCTATCTAGATGTGATGTAACACCCTCAAATTCAACATACTTTGAAGAGCCTGTGATGGCACGGTAACCTCATGCCCAACCCGTCTTGCTGATCGGAGTGAGTGTAGGCCCAAAAAGCATGAAGAAGGGGTGTGCCAAGGATCTTTGGGAAGAAGGGATTTGGAGTCCCGGGTTGGAGTGTCAGGTCCTTTTGCGTGGTTATGGAGAATCGGCTCAGCTGATTATCGAGCATAGAGGAGGGGCAAAAGTGCAAATCGCCAAGTACTCTCACTTTGTATACCCATTCCTTTGCTAACCAGAACACTTCGTCTGGGGAGCCTCTGATGAGATGGTTCTGTCGGGTTTTGTAGAACGTGTTCACCAGCACCTCGTTCTGTCCAACCTCTAGCACATTACCTACCCGAGTCTCATCCCCATTGAGTACCCCCCAGTCCCTTTCCCGAAGAGTCGGTCCCCGCCCCACTCTATCGGAAGGGAGAAACAATTTCCTCCAACCTCTCCCCTATCTATGGCAATGTGGCAGTTTCTCTCTTAGCTGCTGTTCCATTACCCAGTCCCTTCGCACACTGTCCCGTGGATGCCCCACTTCGGTGAGCCCCCTCCGGACCGAGGATTCCCAAGGCCCTCCCAAGCTTAAACCACCAGTACCTTTCCCAGCTATTTTTTCAGAGGCGTGTCGGGTAGCGCGCTGGCCTGAAACGGAAGTGCGGCCGCCGATAAATTGAATCGACTGCGAGTCTTGATTTTAGGGCCGGCGCGCAGTGCCCGCGACCGACATACAGGAAAGGAACTGGTGGTTTAAGAGAACCCTTCCCCCCCGATCGGTTATCCAGCCATTGCCAAACAATGGCTGTCGAGCAACTTCCTCCCACCTACTAGGCGGTGGTCTGTCAGGGAGAGGAAGCGTTCGCCAAATTTTTATTAGCCTCGTCGAAAAGTTATCCTTTCGGAGATCAGCACCTTCTGCTGCACGATCCGAGTGTGTGCTAGGTTGGAGGGACGGCCTGGCATCGTCCAGAAAGTATCATCCAACCATGTTAAGGGGTGTATAGAGGGCGGGGTTTGTGGTGCAAACCTTGCCAATTGTTCCAGTGCCAAGGGTTCCCATGGGAGTTCTGGTGTGCAGGCCAACCGTTTTAGCCATTGCAGTGCCAGGGCAATTGTCTGTGTGGCGGGGTCTAAAATTCCCAGGTCGCCCTATGCTTTTGGTTGCACAATCGTGTCCCATGCCACCGTGCTGATCACGTGTTGGGTTTCGTGGTTGCGGTGCCACAGAAAGGCCGCCACTTGGTGTTTCAAGGATTTGGAGGCCTGATGGGACATAGGCGCTAGTTAGCCGATTTATACCAGAGGGATGCAAGGACCACGTTGTTTATTACTAGGGCCCTGCCACAAAGCGAGGTGTGTTTGTCGGCCCATGAGGCTTACTTTAGAAGTGTTGGATCCATTATCCATTTGTCGTTACCCTCCCGTGTACCGGGGCCGAGAGTTGAATCCCCCGGACCCTAATAGGAGACTCCGGCGGGAGCCGGGTGACCCCTGGTCTTTCTGGGGGCCTCCCACCATCATGGTGCATCCATCACCCCAAGGTCTTCCTCCCCCAATTAACCGACATATCTGAAAGGGCGCATAAGCTGTTCATTAATCTTTCTATTTCTTCCATATTCCCTGATGAGGCCTCAACCGTCAATGCGAGGTCATCCACAAACAAGGAGCACACTTGAATTGTGTCCTTCGGGATGGAGGTTGTCTGAATCTTGCGGATGTTCCGGTTTGCCCTGAGGTTAGCTGCCAGTTCTTCCATTACCACCACGACGAGGTAGGGGGCTATGGGGTTACCTTGATGAACAGATCGTTGTAAGGGAAATTATGGGGCCAAACTTTCATTAACTTGCACCTTCGTGGTGGCATTTGAGTCCAAAATCCTTGTCCAACATCTAAAGGCTTCCCCAAAGTTCATTTTAGCTAAGCACCTGTCCAGGAAGTCCCAGTCCACGTGGCCGTACACCTTTTCAAAATCAATAAAAATAAAAGCAGCGTTGCACCTAGACTGGCGGGACAACCTCAATAACTCGTTAACGAGTAAGATACTATCGTGGATGTGGCGTCCCTTAAGAAATCCAGTTTGGGAAGGATGAATACTTTGCTCCATTGCCAAGGACATGCGGTTGGCCAAGGCCTTCGACAACATTTTGTATACCACTGTTAGAAGCGTAATACGTCTGTAATTTCGTATATTCATGTTGTTCCCTTTTTTTAATATAGGGGTGTGAGCACCCGTCACCCCACTACCTCCCCCATTTCCCCTTCCTCCCACACTTTTCGGTAGTAGCTCATTATATCATTCGCCATGAGATCCCAATAGCGCACCAGAATTCCTCCGGGAAGCCATCCACAATGGGGGTCTTTTCCTCCATCTGCAGTAGGGCTGTCCATATTTCTTTCTTTGTTATTGGTCGGTGCAATGAG